TTTATTTCATCGTTTGAGAATCTTGTTGGTACAGCAAGCTTACTAAGCTGTGGATATTTATATAGGACCTTCAATAAAAGAAAATGTGATATTTACGCTTTCACATACTAGTCATTAAATTTATTTTATTAACGAACCTGTGCAATAACGCATCCACTCTTGTCTCGTTTAATCTATTTGCGAATAATATACCTATATTTATCTTCAAAATGCTTGTCACATATCACGTGCGTCGGCTTCAGTTTGACGATCCCAGAAATGATTTCTATCCATTTTTTTAATTGTTCAATGTCCTTTGGTACGCGAAATACAGAACGTTTCGATTTTTCGCTTCTGTTGCCCGTTTTGCATGTCGGCACAGCACACGGCTTTGTCATCGCCAAATAATAATTGAAAAATAAACTAATTAAACAATGCAAGACTGAATGACTGAACGGACTCTTTATAATTTGTTGGTTACATTTGTCAACATTACCCGATCGCAACGATCCTCGTCCTCGTGGCGACAAAGCAAATTAAATTGCTTCAATAAGCGACGTACCTCCACTACTGAAAATTGGCCGAGTTTCCAGACCTGTGTACACGACCGTGGTTTGATTTGAACCTCGCTATGCATTGGAAAATTGTAAACTCATGTGGAACTTCGCTTTGCGTTGTAAAGTATATGCGTGGACTCACAATCAGTGGGTTTTGTTCCTCCCTACGGCGGGGGGGGGGAGGGGCTCTACGTCCGAAAGGTATAACGTAAACCAAACCTAATTTCGATTTTAAATTAAAATGTATGCGAGTTACTTTGCTTATATAGCAATAAAAAAAAGGATCGATATTTCTGAAACTATTAATAGCGACTATGTCCACTTTTACTTCAAATAATCCATTTAGCAAGAATTCATAGTCAAAATTACGCGCCACGGAAATCGTTATCTCCTTAGGCAGTATTGGGCATTGTTCGAATAAAATTTTATTTAGATAAGGTTGAGAATGAAATTTTATCCGCTAAAATTTTATTCGTTACTTGTAAATAAAAATATATTCGAATTAATTTTTATTTGCAAATCAAAAATACAATTTTATTCGAATAAATTTTTATTATTTTATTCGAACAAAATATTTTATTCGTAAGTCACGAATAAAAATTTACTCCAATAAAATTATATTTCTAACTTGTAGATAAAAATTTATTCAAATAAATCCTTATTTACAAATAATAAATAAAATTTTATCGCATAAAATGTCAGTAGTAAAAGGTTAGAAAACAAGGAAAAAATTTTTTTGTTGGAACTGAATTTTTGTCTTTTTACATTTATTGTTCTGTATAGTATGTAATACATATGGGTGCTTTCCAGCAACGACACAGAGCGACACAGAATATCTTTGTTGTTTACTGATATTGAAAGAAGATTGAATGATACGCTATGTTGCTCTGTGTTGTGACGTGGTCTTTTTGAGCCCGTCACAAGGGCGGACGCGCCCGGCCGGGAGGCGTCTAAGAGCGCTTTAATTTTGTGTTTTGTGCGGGTGAGCAGTAACCTTTTCGCTAGCTCACCCGTACTCTGTATCGGGATCGAGGTGGTGGGCCAGGAGAACGGCCATTGTTTTAGGAAGAAGAGGACCCAGGCGAACAACGGAAGGACGATCTCGAAGGGGGAGGAGCGGAGACTGAGCGACCGGCCCGGTGAGTATAAAACACACAGTATCGAGTGAATAAGGGAGAGAGATACTGCCAAGGAAATCATTACAGCCTCGAATGGACGATCGGGAGCGGCCCGGAGCAGGCAGGGGAAGGCGTCGGCATCTCTACACGAGGATGGACACCCCTAAGGGGCCCCGCCACCACACGTCGAGGAGAAAGCGGAGATCCCTCGGGCCTGATCACCCCGGAAAGGTCTCCCCCAGCGAAGCAAGGCTAACGAGAATACCCACCCAGCCGTACGAGGTGTGAGCGGGGCCGCCAGGATCGGGTTTACGGAGAGCGTTACCGAGGACTACAATTTGAATTTGGCGGCGGGAGTCCGCGACCAGCCGCGACACACAGGAATCGATACGAGAATCGATTCCGGGTCCGGCGCGGGGCGCAACGCTGCCGCGAAGCCTGGCAACCGGGCCGGGGTGGCGCGCATTGTCTTCCCCCTCCCCACCAGCGTACCTTCCAAGGTCCCGCCGGCCCGAAAGGAAATCACTGTTCGGCAAGCCGGTGTCCTGCGAACACGTGGAAGGACGACGACCCACAGCGACCACCTGCGACGGCGAATTATTGTAAGGCCACCTCCTCGATCGTCCGGTAAGCGCGGATTCGGCGGAGACCCGTGAGTTATTAGAGACGTGTAACGATACCGAGCAATTATGCTATAAATAATTTAGTACCGAGAATTAGTTGAGAGACTCACGGGACTCGCGGCGATTTCCGCGTCATTAAGTATTGCGTAAATCTTTGCCTTCTTCGCCTCTCCGAGGGGCACCGAAACGAGTCGACAGTCATATCGTAATATATTGTAATTGTAGCATTGTATCGAGTCATTGATTAGCAATCCTTGAGAATAAGTTACGCTGGATTAGTGTATGGTCTATTCGATTCCGAGCCGGATACAAAGGGAGGAGAGTAATGATAACTAGAGATTTCGATAAAACCCAGCGATCTCCCTACGGCTCGATAATAATATTATAGTTACTTTTATTCATTCTATCTATATACTACCAACTGAAAATATATTCTTCTTATTTTATCTTATTTCTGAGTACAATTAATATCGAGATTTCCTCTCTCTCTCCGAGACGTCGATTCCGAATCTCCTTACGGAAAGAACCACGACACTCTACCCCCTGTTGATACCGAGCTACCGAGGCCGAGCCGTCGTGTCCGCTGATTATTTGCCGAGATATTGTTGAGTGGTGCGGCCTGATCGCACCTGGCGCCCAAAAGATACGATACCGAGTACATAGTGATACCGAGCAAGTATTGAGAGAACGGAGAGCGGCACGACGAGGTTGCGCAGCAGTCTCTCTCGCACTCTCTCTCTCGTTTGACGAGAGAGGACGGAGAGACGGTCGCAGTGTCGTTGCTGGAAAACACCCACTATGTATTATAAAAAAAATAAATATACCATAAATGATACCTAGAAACTAGAAACTAAGTAGTCACGGTTAAATTATTATACGATAATTATTGTTATTAGTGAAAGTGAGCGCCAACATGTGAGACATAAATAATTGATATTTTGTTGTTCCTCGCCGGAGGCACGAAGATTTTTCGGGTCTCGGCCGACTTTAGGATAGGGATCCAAAAGATCGACGGACGTCTTTAATTTAATTCGAGCTTTCTTATTTTCAATAAACTCTTTATTTACGCAGAATTCTTGAGTGGGTTTTTATTCTGTCAAATCCCGCCTAGGTGGTTAGTTAGATAATTCCGCACTCGGCAGTTAGAGTACAGGCGGTAGGTTAGTAATCAGCGGCTTGTCTTCGACTCTTAGTTAGATTCTGATTAGCGACTTGTCTTTCTGGATTTTCGTTAGCGACTGCTCTCATCGCCTCCGTCCCAGGTGGTCTCCTGTCTTTTCTACATCTTTTTGGGAGAGGATGTAGAAAAGCTCTCTCATTGGTTAATATTATTTACGCGTTTTTTATCTAGGTGCAAGCGAAGCAGATTAGATCTTCGCTTGCAATCCGCGGTTTCCGGCGTTTCGCGTATTTTCTGTCGCGTTCGCGTCTTCTCGCGATAAGCGCTTTGCGAGAGCGTGAGAACGTTTCTCGAACGGTTATATAATGTCTACTTATTTATTTATTACTAATATAATATTTAATATAATAATATTCGATAATATTCAATATAATATAGTTATAGTCATTCGAATTATAACAATTTATTCGAATCAAACTTTATTCGTGTCATGTGATTGAACCTTCATCCAAATAAAAATTTATTTGTTAATTCTGAATAAGGATTTATTCGAATAATATTTTATTCTTATTTTATAAATAAAGATTAATTTAAATAAAATTTTATTCGCATTTTATGAATAAAGATTTATTCGAATAACATATTAGTTAGCCATATTACGAATGAGATATATTCAAATAAGATTTTATCCGAATAATATTTTATTCGAATAATTTATTCTTAATGCGTTATTCGAATAAAATGTGCTCAACTCTGTCCTTAGGAAACCTTACTAATAAATGTGGAAAACAATGTAAAAATAAAATTACTGTTATATGCTATAATTACATGTATTTCTTAATTTCTCACAACACAAATTCAACAGAAATGCTTCAAAAACATTAAAAAATTTCAAAACAGTTTCCAAATGACATTAAAACGTCAATAAAACATCTAAAAAACATAACATAAAAAACGTAACATTTGGAACATGTGTACAACCTTTCATAAACGTATTTGTGACAAAATAGCAGACATTTTCACTTATCTAAAACATATATGGTCAATATTAAACGTGAAGAATAAAATCCTCAAATTCCAACAACAGGTTTGTAATTCTAACAATGTAAATAACCGTTTGCCTTTACCCCGTCACCTCGACGGTTCGAGTTTTTGTTTACACGTGGTCCGTCGAGTTGATGGTGCGACGTCCGGGGCGCGTGTTTTGCACATTCCTCGATGTTTCGATCTTATTTAGTTCGATCTTAAGAGCCAGCAAAAGCAGAGCTAGAGCTCTCGTTACTGTTGTACGTTGAGTATCACCGAATGTTCAGTGGATCTGTTAAACGTGTGAATATTAAAGCTATCCTCCGGATTTCTACAATAAATCTATGTGAATTGAACTTCATAAATCTTCATTTTCATTTACCTTGTGGATAATTCTTACTGTAAATTATCACACCGGCGGTTTAATGAAATAATACTTCCGTTTGATAGACGAGGATTTTTTTCGATATTGAACAGTATATGAGATATTTTTTCGCAAATTTTGCTGAGGTTTCTGAATTGCTATGTAAATTTAAAATATTTGCAAATATTTTAATTTTGAAATTATTTATTCCAGTGCGTGTGACTTCTGTCAACAACCAGTAAATAATTCGGGAATTACCTCGTCGTGTCAGTGCGTTATAAGTGATGGATTTGAAAAAACGATATTTTCCATCAATCGTATGATTCCAGGTCCAAGTATCCAAGTATGTAACAAATTTAAACGTATATTATTTACATAATTAATTACATAATGAAATATGTATATTACTATAAAATTATAAAAAAAAATATATTTTAAATATATTTTAAAATAAATTAAAAAAAATATTAATACATATATATTAATGTTATGGTATATTATATTGCGTTCACTGACAAGGAAACGGTAGGAAGTGTCCCTTACTGATTTATAATGAGTTTTGAATATGTTGTAGAGCATTGAAAAATATTAAAGCCGTATTTTTTTAGTTGCATATCTCGACATTTAGGAGGTAAAACACCTTGAAAAAAAACGGTTTTTTATTACTGAGTTAATACCGTCGAAGTGGTAAAAGATATTAAAAAATGTTTCAAATAAAAGTTTTATGGGTTTTAATGTTCTTTAAACCAGTACAATCAAATTTTTCAAAAACGTAAAGTTTTTTGTAATTTTCTTCTCCTTCCATAATTTTTAAAAACTTAAAAATTTTTTTGTAACAAATCTGAAAGCCTATTCAATGCCAAACCATATAAAATAAAGTTGTATTCCAACAACACCTTTTTCAGAAATAAGCTAGAAATAACACTATACGCGCTCCATTTGATTCTACCAGACGTTCGCTACTCGTGATCACCGTTCGTAATCTTACAAAAAGAATAAATTATTGACAAAAAATTATATATTACAATTTATATATTTATATTTTCACAATGATAAAAATCTTTGAAAAAATTGTAGACAACCAAACTGGGCAAAAAATATATTAATTTATTAGATCTTTATCATTACGTTTAGACCTTTGGTTCACGTTCTTATCAAATAAACAAACGTTAAATGTTAAAATGCAAGATTCTTTGATGTCATTATAATAAAATATGTATGATAGTCATCACTATAAAATTATATGTATGAAAACACGTGTGTCTACTGAGACGTTTAGCTAACAACTGGTTGTTGTGATCCTTGTGATTATATGTACTGGCGCTTTTACGAAATATTCTTTTTTTCTTATTTATATTTTATTTAGATTTTTGGAAAATGTAAAATTTTTTAATTTGTCCTGATTTTCACCTGTTATTTTTGTAAAATTTAGTAATTTTGTAAGGACAAAAACTAAAGAACATCGAATGTCACCAAATCCATCTCTTCACTTCGGAGGCAAGTGGGAAGCAGAAGTTAAATCTGTAAAACATTACCTTAAACGAGTTCTCGGCGATACACTCTTTACGTATGAGGAGATGACTACCTTACTTATACAAATTGAGGCTGTTCTTAACTCGCGGCCTTTGAGCTTACCCAGAAGATTTAAATGCTTTAACTCCCGGTCATTTCTTGATTAGAAGTGCATCGGCCATCATTCCAGAGCCATCACTCGAGACCTTGAATAGCTCATGTCTGTCTAGATGGCATTCATTCGTCAGAAAGTAGATAGATTTTGGTCGCGCTGGTGTAAGGAGTATCTAGCAATATTTAGCCATCGACAAGTAGAACCAACCTAGTCCTTCACTCTAAGAAGACTCTCTAGTTTTAGTCATTAATGAGCGATATCCTCCCTCGAAATGGCCTCTGGGAAGAATCACTCAAATGCATCCTGGCAAAGATGGCCATATTAGAGTGGGTCACTGTCCGTACACAAACATCATCTTTCAAAAGACCGATTGTTAAGCTCTGCCTTCTGCCCATCTCAGTAGACTCTCTGTAATTCGTTTGTTAACTTCAGTTAACGAAGGCGGGCTGAAATGTTTAGAAATCTCGCGCGAGTGGTCGAGGTGTCGCGTTAGCGGTATCTCGAATCTGCGCTTCCGCTCCATTGTCAGTAGCCTTCCGTCTCTCAACCAGTGGCGCTGGTAATGCTTCTTCTCCCTCACGGCTCAGCTTGGTCGTTCATTCGTAGTAGCCATTCTGTCTGTGTCGTTTAGTTGAGCTACATATTTTATTCTTTTGTTTAAAGTCAAGTTTGCAAGTTGATTTATCAACACTGAGTACATCTCATTCTTTGGAATTCTGTCTCTCAACAGCTACTATTTCTCGAGTTCAAATAAAAAAAAAGATGTAATACAAGGAAGACGGAAAGTCTCTCAGGCGTGACTGCCTACCACCAGAGTGTATTCGAGGCGAGCAAAAGACTTCTGGCTGATCTTGGTTTTCATTCGCAGATTTAGATCACTTTTCAATCTCCGTAGGTTTAGGTAACCTTTTTAACATAAGAAAATTTAATCTGATGAATATGCCAGAAGCCCTGTTCTTTCTATGTATTTTCACGTTATTTTCTGTTTCCCAAGGTACGTGATTGTGCATCTCTATAACTATTCATTGATTTTCATCCTGAGGTCCTTATTTTCTAACCTCAGGATGTAACAGTCGGAGTTTCTTTTCAGTCTAAATTAGATATTCAGAACTTTTTTCTTTCATTGTGTAAAAGTACATTCTAATTATTTTGATTATTATTATTTATTTCTTTCAGCAACACATTATATTATATATACACATATATATATATATATACAATATAATTAATTATAATAAGAATATTTTTAAGTCGGCTCTCCAATTTTTAATCATCGTATTTATCTCGACTAAAGAGCCAAACGCGATGTTATTGCGTCAGATTAAGATAAGAAAATTTGGAAACTAATAAATAATTAATTATGTTTTTAAGTATTCAAATTTATTAATTTTATATAGAGTTATTTTGATTTCTTTATTCAACTGATAACATCAGTTAAGTTTTAATTTTAATAAGAACTTTAATAGTTTAAAAAGTTACTTTTGTTTTAACATAGAAATTAAGTTTTATTTTAAAATAGTGTTGACTGATCAAGACGAAAAAACTAGTCTTGTTTTACGCATCCAATATTTTTTTGGATTTATTTTGTATACGCAACTATCTATTTGTAGAGTAAATAACTTGTAACTTCTACATATACATCACTTTATGAATTACAATACTCTTAATAAAATTGTATATATTTATATAATATACGAGGGTCACTATTTATATTTCGGGAATTGGCAACACTGATGTCATGTGAGTCCATCTGACGGTTCCATCGTGAAGTTTGACATTTTTGACGATATACGTACTCAGAACATTTTGTCATACGGACGCTATTTGTTTATTTTATATTTAGTTGAAAGTTTCGTCTCGGCAAAAAATGGAACTGAATCGTGAACATTTTCGTGCGATGATTTTTTACGACTTTCGACGTGGATTATCACAACAAGAGTGCGTCAATCAACTTAATTTGACTTTTGGCGATGAAGCTCCATCAAAAACCACTGTGTATTGCTGGTATAGTGAATTCAATCGTGGTCGTAGTTCGCTGTCCGACGAGTTTCGTGAAGGTCGTCCAAAATCGACTGTAGTGCCAGAAAACATCAATGCTGTGCACGAAATGATTAAGCAAGATCGTCATGTAACCTATTGTGAGATTGAGGCATCCCTAAGCATTAGTTCCACCAGCATATATGCGATTTTACATGAACACTTAGCTGTGCAAAAGTTATGTTCGCGTTGGATCCCACATAATTTGACAATCGCTCAAAAAAAGGCTCGTGTCGATTGGTGCAAAGAAATGCTTAAAAAATACAATCGCGGTGCTTCAAAAGACGTTTATAAAATCGTGACAGGTGACGAATCATGGATATATTCGTATGAGCCCGAAAGTAAGCAGCAGTCGACTGTATGGGTGTTCCAAGATGAACCAAATCCAACAAAAGTTGTTCGCGCACGAAGCACTTCAAAGAAAATGGTGGCCTGTTTCTTCGGAAAAACTGGTCATATTGCAACAGTGCCTCTAGAGGATCGTAGAACAGTAAATTCTGAGTGGTACACAACCATCTGTTTGCCAGAAATCTTCGGTGAAATAAGGAAAACAAACAAGAGACGTCGGATTGTTCTTCATCATGACAATGCGAGCTCTCACACATCGGCTCAAACAAGAGACTATTTGAGCACTCAAAACATCGAATTGATGGGTCATCCGCCGTACAGCCCTGATTTGGCACCCAATGATTTCTTTTTGTTCCCATCCGTGAAGAATAAACTGCGTGGTCAACGATTTTCATCGCCCGAAGAAGCTATTGAAGCGTTCAAAAATCATGTTTTGGAGATACCTCATTCGGAATGGAATAAATGCTTTGAAAATTGGTTTAAGCGCATGCAAAAGTGTATCGATCATCGTGGCGAGTACTTTGAAAAACAATAAAAATATATTCGCAGCTTAACTATTTGTTTTTGTTCCTATTCCCGAAATATAAATAGTGACCCTCGTATTACTTTTATACTAATTCAAAAATTTCCTTTTTTTTGTCATCCAGTTGCGTCTTTCCAGTTATAAAATATCACAGTAGTTTTATAACATATACCTTACTATCTCTCAAATACATCAACTTTTTCCGCTTCTGGAATGTCAAACAAATTGTAAAAATTTAACGTTTCTTTCTCTTCTAATTGGAATTCTTTTTTATTTTGTATTTTCTGCAGCACATTCAATTTTTTCTTTCACTTCTACTTTTTTTGATGTTATCAGACTTTGTGGAAAATTGAAAGCAATAACAGTTACAGATAATAACATTATTATGTTGTATGGATTAAAATGTATTATTTTAAAAAATGTTAAATCAAATAAATTTAATAAATAAATTTTTTTCTCGCCTATTTTTCTCCATATATAAATTTGAGATTAATTTATATATGGAACTTAGTAATCTTAAACCAAGAGATACAGTTCCGAAAAATTAATTTTCGCGCTTGGGCTCTATTGGCCGATTTAAAATTCATATATTATTATTATTCTTAATATTGAGAGCCGACATATATTTCTTGTCTGATTTTATTTACGCCTGGGCTTAATCATGGCGTTATTTACTAACATCTACTAAAAGGCAAATGAAAAATATTGGATCGAAAAGGTCTAAATAGCTTAGTTGGTAAGAGCAGTTGCCCGAAAAGTGAAAGACGTGGGTTTGATTCCCGCTTCAGCGACTTTTCGGACCTATATT